AGACTGGCCATAAAATCAATGAAAACAAACAAAGCGACAGGGCCAGATGGAATATCCATCGAAATGATTCAATGTCTCGATGAACTAGGTGTAGATGTCACGACAAAACTACTAAACAAAATATATGACACAGGTGAAATTCCGGAAGATCTAACAAAATCAATATTCATAGCGCTTCCAAAGAAGCCTGGAGCTACTGAATGTGAATTACATCGCACAATCAGTCTCATGAGTCATATCACAAAAGTTTTGCTTAAGATTCTGATGATGCGTATGAAAAATAAGATCACGCCAGAAATAGCAAAAGAACAATATGGATTTATGCCTGATAAGGGCACTAGAAATGCAATCTTCATCCTTCGAACGATAATCGAAAGATCAATTGAAGTCAAACATGATCTATACCTATGTTTCCTTGACTACACAAAAGCTTTTGATAAAGTCAAACACGACAGTCTATTCCAAATTTTGGAAAAGCTCGACATCGATGGCAAGGAACTACGAATAATTCGAAATCTTTATTGGGATCAAAAAGCTGCCATACGAATAAATAACGATACTAGTGACTATACAGGTATAAAGAGAGGTGTCAGACAAGGTTGTGTTCTATCTCCAGATCTTTTCAACATATATAACGAAATGATACTTAGAAATCTAGAAGATGTTGAAGGAATAAAAATTGGAGGTAAAAATTGTAATAATATAAGATATGCAGACGACACCGTACTATTGGCAAGTAATGAACAAGACCTACAGAAAATGATTGATATAGTCTCAAAAGAAAGCATAAAAATGGGACTATCACTCAATATCAAGAAAACAGAATGTATGTGTGTTTCAAAGAATAAAATCACACCGACATGCAAAGTTTACATAAATAGAGAATCAATCAAGCAAGTAAATCGCTTCAATTATTTGGGATCCGTCATAACCTCAGATGGTAGATGCGATGAAGACATCAAAATGAGAATAGCTCTCTCTAAACAAGCGTTCCAAAAGATGAGTCCAGTTCTGAAAAATAGAACCCTATCGATCGACACTAAAACAAGAGTACTCAGATGTTACGTTTGGTCGATTCTGCTATACGGTTCCGAATGTTGGACAATCAGTAAAGAAATGGAAAAACGCTTAGAGGCTACTGAAATGTGGTTTCTCAGAAGGATGCTTAATGTACCTTGGACTGCTAGAGAAACAAACGAATCAATATTAAAAAGAACGAAATCGAAAAGACTTTTAATCAATACCATCCGTTATAGGCAACTAAAATTCCTTGGCCACATAATCCGTAAAGGTTGCATAGAACATCTGGTATTGAGTGGGAAAATCAATGGAAAGAAAGATAAAGGCCGACCTAGAATCAAATATCTAGAAAACGTGAATCTATGGATTGAAAAACAAGGTTATGCGAAAATAGACTTTCTTCACGCAGCACAAGATCGGAAGAATTGGCGTATCATGTTAGCCAACGTCTGTAACAGATAAGGCATCTATCTGATCTGATTTCTCGATCAACAACTGAAACGAATACTGAAGAAACGATGAACTTACCGTGACATTGAAATCGATTGAGAATTCAATACTTGACAATAGTTAATGCAACACGGATCTTTATGGATAGGTGTGAGTGTGTATATAATTAATTCCATCCGTAATCATATCCTTTTGTAGTTTTCTTTATTTGAAACATGGTTCGGGATATAATTAACCCTTTCAATCCCGCATGTCATATACGAGATGACATGAATATTGTAATATAAAAATTTTGCGTTCTGTCGTCTTCCTACATGATATATATCATATGTCTGTTCAAAGAAACGTGTGTAAATTTCATTGTGAACATAATTTTTCTTGCACTGAACTAGTATAGCTAGATATTGTGTACAGATGATTATCTAAAGAAGAACGCAAGGGAGAGAGAGAGAGAAATCTAGATTTTCTTCAACTTTTTTATAAAATGAGAGCAAATATTGGGATTGAAAGGGTTAATATTTCAACTTTATTTCTGTATTGAGACGAATTTTCAATATAGCAAGTAGTTCGCCGTCCTTTTATTTGATATTTGTATATAATTTATTTTTGAATTATTTTTCCTTCAAGGTTAAATCGCTTTGTTTGACCATTCTCTTATCTTACGAATTCTTTTCGACCTAAAAACCAGAAAGCAATTTTTCCATCAATGATTTGATTATCATCTTCATTCATTTTGCATCACTCAATAAGAAATAATCAAATAACAATAATGCTAAAATATATTGACGTTCATTTTGATATTTTGCCTATCGACATGCTATGTCTTGATTGAAAGTTTTCTAAAAATCAGTTTCAGTCATAAAAACTGTAATGATCCATATTGGATTGTGTTTACAAAAAAAACGTTTCATTTTTTCAATTCCATTTAAAATAAGTTAAATCTGTACTACTGTCCACTTCAGACATAAATGACGGTGGATATTTTTCGAATAACTTTTGACAGAAATGAGATAGAGACCTGTGGTTTTCACCTTTGGAAAGACTAGATGAAAATACATCGAACCATGTATAGAAAGATTTTTCGAATGATTTTCCTGAAAATTTTTAGCCAAGTGTTTTCAAAGAATTTTGTTTTTCTCCTACGTTGAAATGATAATTTTTCTATTAAAATGTCACAAAAAATCTTCATTTTTCGACTATTTTGAATCAAGAAATTAATATCGTAATCATCAGAGACATGTTGTTTTCTTTAAAATCTTACATAAAACTTCTAGTAAAGTCGTTAGAAAAATTTTTGCATATATTCTTCGAAGGGTGAAAACCGCAGATCTCTATATCATTCCTTTCAAGAGTTATTTCAAAAATACTCACGGCCATTTATGTCTGAAACGAACAGTAATATATTTCTTTTCGATCCTTTCAAACATCATTTCAATTGGTGTTGTTCCAGGAGTATTATCAAAGATACATTTAAGTGTATGGCGCACCGCTGCAGATTTATTTAAAATATCATCATTATCAATAACTTCCTACTCAATAGTACCTAAATCTGATATGAATCGATTGCATATTGGTATACATGCAATAGAAAAGTTGTTTGATTTCATTATTCGGTGTTTCATTACACAGTAAAAATTCATATTTATTTTGAATAGCTCTATTAGTTCGATGTTCCAATAATTATCGAACAATTTCTTGATGACTATGAAAACATGGGTATGTCTTCTTTTCGTACAAATCCAGACCCGCAAGCTAGATCATTTACTTTTTAAGTTAAACCAAACCTTAACCAAAAAGAATATCTTTCAAATTTTGATCAATATTTAATATATCAAACAATTCACAGAAAAAGCAAATGTTCAGTTTTATTGTTATAAATATACTGAAAATTGATGCTGGCTACAAGCACCTAATTTGAGAAATTGTCTTAATTTCTCATAAATCCAAAACTAACATTGCCAATAATTTTCATTTTCTTTTAGATATTCTTTCTCGTTGAATTACTCCCGATAGAATATAAAATATAATTGACAGAAAATTATTTATTTCAAAAAATTAACACAACTCAACTGATGACATATCAATTTTACAATATTAAGTATTTCTGGAATAATTAACAAAAAAGCCATAGATATTACTAGATATAGTATAGTTTTTTTTTGAAAACCCGATTTTCTATAAAATAACAGGTATATTCAAAAAGTTACATAAATAATCTTTTAAATTGAAGAATGTCCAATCAGTAAATTAAGTCGTCATATATTTTTTTGCTTGTATCATACATTAGAATTACATTGCCGTGGAATTATTTGTATATGAAAATGAGGAAATTGTTTTTCTTCAGTTGGATCGAATGATTTAACATCGACAATTTCAAACTGAAAACCAGACAGCAATAGAACTTCTTCATGTGGGAATTTCGAAAGTCCACTAATATCGATACCTTGACATGTAAAATGGTCTGTATCAGACAATAATATTTCGAAGAGAGTATTACCATGAAAGCTTTGGGCAACATCGTATTTTTTAGTTGTTGACGTGAATCCAAGCCAAGTCAAATAATTATCTCCATTTTTCATCTCTTATTGAAATCGACCTATCATACCTGGGTGTAACCAAGCACCAGGATGTACAGTTCCTCGATGGAAATCAATACCAAAAGGTGAACGTAGACAAAGATAAGAATAGAGTAAATAACAATAAGGTCCAAGTGTATCTCGATAGATTCTCTTATCATTCTCTCGAATAGCTCGATTGACCAGTTTGAATAGCGAACAATCACATGTGTACAACCTTGAGTCTATGGGCTTTTTTATTTCAAACTGAATTCCAAAATCACAAAAACCACACCAATTTCTTCCGAATCAAACTTTTCTCGCTTGATACTACGTAGTCTCACTAAAAACCCTTAGTCCCCCCTAGTCCTGCAAAGTCCCCCTTAGTCCCCCCCACAAAAAGCTTAGTCCCCGCTTAGTCCCCTGTGCAGGGGACTAAAGCCTATAGTACACAAAACCACAAGCACACCCTCACCCTCACTCGCGCGCCCACACCCGCACCATGGGTGTGGGTATGTGTGTGGGTCCCAGACCAACACCCACACCCTCAGTCACCCCCCTCCCTCACTCCTAGACTCAAGTTTCAGTTTGAAATCAAGTATTATTTTTATTTGATAAATTCAGACTGAAATTAAATAGCCCATAGTATGACAACCTTACAGGACACTGTTTTATTTCCACTTTATTTTCAGTTTCGTACTTTGCGCAATTCATCACATATGATTTTGACTTCTTTACCAAATTCTACGTTCTTCAAACCTTCCTCTTCTATTCCTTTAATAGAACATCAACAAAATATTTTTTTCACTTACTTCTCCATCTGCTCGATGATTCGCAATAAAGTTTCTATGCCATTGTTGAATCATCAATGAATTAAATTTGGTATCTGTTTCAAAAGATTCAAAGAAATGATCATAATCACGAGAAAAAACAAAACGATCTTGACGAACATGTTTTTTGTTTATATGTTGAATGTTACTTAGACGTCTTATTCGACGTTGCTTTGCAGGAGCACCTTGTACATATTGAATTCCTTTCTGAACATAAATCATATAATAATTTCGTATTTAGATTAGGTTTTGGTGATGATGAATAATAAGTTGCTTCAGTCAGTGAATTTTCTTCAGGTAAATATGATGTCCATGAGACTTCTTCTGTATTTGCAAAAGTCCATGGTTTAGGATCTGATTGCCATTGCTGTTGTACAACTAATTTTTTTCTTACTAAACGATGATTATAACGGTATGTCGTCTTATGATTTACATTCTTTTATTTTCTTGAAAAAAATAACCCAAATGAAATGTCAATATATTACTAATCCTTCTTCCTTTTTATTTGAAACGACAAGAGATGAATTATTTAACTACTGCATAGTTATTCAAAAATTAGTCATTTCATAAACTATTCCCTCAACTGAAGGGAGGATCATATGAAAAAAATGCGTCCGTTTGTTTGCGTCAGGATCAACGGAACATTAGGGTAAAAAAAACATCCATACAATTTTTCGGGGAAGATTTCTGCCTTACTACCAGAACATCGCATGGTCACGTTCAGACCGATCCTAGGGGTTATCGAGCGTGCTCTATCGATTGATGAACAAATACGGGGGCCTCCAACCAGGCCCTCATGGAGATATACGTCATAGCATGTAATTGGTAAAAAAAACGACCAATCAGATTTGAGGAGGTCTTTTCTTCCTTCTCGTGGAAACAACGCATAGTCATGTTGGGACCGATCATAGGGTTATCGGGGTTTTTCTCTCGATCGATGGTTATATGCAGGGGTTCCCAGCCGTCCCTTCATGGAGATTTAAATTTCCAACATATGATTCGTTAAAAAACTGACCAATCAAATCTCAGGAGGCAGTTATCATCATCAAAATTTAAATGTACTCATACCAAATTTTGTTGATTTAGCAAGGATAAAAGATTGTATTGATGATAAAATAGATTGTAGCAATTATCTTCAGGGGTGAGTGTCAGGAAGGTGTGAATGTGGATGTGGGTGTGGGTGTGCGATTTGAGTGCGAGTGTGGATCTGGGTTTAGGAAAGATCTATATCTACATCTACAGCCACACTATGGATGGGAACTTACCACTACCGTTTCTGGGTAACAGTCCGAGAACGGTAACTTTCCACCCCTAACCTACATCAACATCGTCAAGATTTTTCTCAAATTACTTCATATCTACTTCGATTGAACTTCATGCTTGAGGTATCTCGTGTGTTTAATAACCATCGAATTGCGATGCAGTTGCGTCGCAATTCCTGAAACAGATGACATATATGAAATGTTCGTTTTATTAATATTTTTTTTTTATTATGAATTAAAAAGCCTTCTTTAAACACCTAAAAAACTATATGTACAAAAACCATCCCTATACGAATCGATAGGATTATTTCACTAATGCATAAATCATTTTATTACGGTAAACGTAGTTGAAAAAATAATAATATTTGTACACATCTATTAGTTCAGTTTAGAGCTGCGCGAATCGACTCTCGATTAACGTTACTTATTAATGTAGATGTCTCCGTAATTATCGTTATCAGCTCACCCTACGGTCAAAGGCCTAACTATGTGAGTCAGATAATTTTTTCCGATATTTCTGTACATTTAATCTGCATTGTAATTGAGTCTCCTATGTATGAGTTTCCTGAAACTAAATAAAAAGTCCTCTAGTTTATTTAGAGTTTTGAATTTCTTTTACCTATTTCGTGATAAATACCATGTTTCAACAAACTTCATTTCGCTTTTTATGAATCACTTCATGACATTTTTCTTTCTAATTCATCAAATGATTTTTTTTTGTTTGTTGTCTCGTAATGTTTGTTTTCGCGACCGAAGTCACTGTTTGAATTTTGACAAATAAGTTGAGTAAAGAAAAAATGTGACATATAAAAGTAATTCATCTATTTTATATTTGTTATTGTACCTTTATTTAATAATTTTTCGATCATCAGTCCCTGTAATTCAAATTTTTTCTTTATTAAAAAATGTTTTGCTGGAGTCGCCAAAAACACTATACATTAAAATTAAAACGAAAAGTTGTTATCGTCGGAGATTGCCATTCTGGTAATAAATCTTTCTGTTTCATGTCATTGAATACTATTCTTTTCAATATAATATTTTAAGGTAAATCATGTCTAGAACAAGCTATTGCTGGTAAAATATGGACTGATATGTCCATGGTGTCAACATGGGATGAGAATTATGTTGAAATTGAAAGTCGTGAACAAAAAGTAGAACTAGAATTATTTGAATAAATATAATTCATATTTGTCTTTACATGTTTCAGTTTGAATTGACTCTATCTACTGTGCAAGCCGAAGAAGAGTATCATCAAATTCGACCTCTTTGCTATCCATGTGCTGATGTAATCATTATGTGCTTTGCTATTGATCAGTATGAGAGCTTCAAAAATATATTTGAAGTAAGTTTTACATGGTGCGTTCAAAAAGTTCCCGGACTGGTTTTATTTCAAAACTAAGAAACACACTACAGTTAATCATATATGTGCTCTTTCTCAAAGTATCTACCATCTGCCGAAATACATCTTCGCCAACGTTCCGGTAGCTGTTGTATAGCGACAGTGAAGTCATCTTGAGACACACCATTTAAACAATGGTGTATTGATGAACCTAGTGCGCTTCTATCTTCGTAGCGTCTTCCCTTGAGATATTTTTTTAAAAGTGGAAATAGATAATGATCGCTGGGGGCCAGGTCTGGAGAGTAAGGTGAATGACGAAGCAGTTCGTATCGTAGATTGTGAATAGTAGACAAAACATGATACGATGTGTGAGCCGAAGCGTTGTCATGATGGAGAATTACGCCAGCTGAAATTAAACCTCGTCGTCGTTCTTTTATTTCTGAATGAACTTTATTAATTAAAAGATTGGCATAATATGTCTTGGTAATTGTTGTACCAGCCGGTACAGGTTCTTTCAAAATGACACCATTATAATCCCAGAAAAAAAGAATATAAAACCTTACGTTCTGACTTCTCTTGCTTAAGCGTCGTTGGTGGTGGAGAGTCAGCTCGTTTCCATTGCTTAGGTGATTGTTTTGATTCAGGTTGATGGTAATAGAACCATGACTCGTCACCAGTGATAATACGAGAAAGAAAATCATTTCCTTCTGTTTCATAGCGAGCCAAAAGTTCTTCACATGCCTCAACTCGTTCGTGTCTTTGAAGAGGCGTTAGCAAATGTGGGACGCATGTTGAACAAACTTTAGTCATATGTAAATGATCGTGCAAAATGCCATGAACGGTACCACTTGAGATACTTAGGATCTCTGCTATTTCCTGGATAGTAATTCGACGATCTTCAATAACCAGGTTTTCTACAACTTTAATAGTTTTCTCATCCGTTGTACTGATTGGTCGCCAACTTCTTGGACTCTCTTCAATATTTAATTGTCCATTCTTAAAACGAGGAACCCATTCAAAAACCATCGTGCGTGATGGAGCACTGTCACCATAAATTGCAGTCATACGTTCATGAATATTAGATGGTGATTGGCCTTCCAAAACAAGAAATTTTATTATCGATCGATGTTCAAATTTTTGATTTTCCATCAGTATGTGTATAGTGATCTAATGAAAATCGCTTTACTCGCGTACAAGAATTTCAATGGTTAACGCATATGGTGTATATAGATGAAGCACTGTTATAGCTACATATAAACAAAATATAGGGGTAACAACGCTTTTCGATATTCTATAGTAAAATCAGTCCGAGAACTTTTTGAACGCACCATGTATTATGATCATTTTTCATTTTCATAACGACTCACTGTCTTCAAGAAATGGATACCTGAATGTAAACATTTTTGTGCAAGAGTTCCAATCATTCTTGTCGGTAAGTTCATCGATACTAATGAAGAATATCTTACTGTTTTTTATTCTAAGGAAATAAGAAAGATTTAAGACATGATCAGGAAATAACAAAACAATTAATTCATCCTAAAGAAGGTCATAAATTGTCACGGCAAATCAGTTCGGTTCTTTATATAGAATGTTCAGCAAAAACGGGAGAAGGTTCGTATATATTGAAATATCTCATCTGACTCAATAATAAATGCTAATGATTAGAGCTCATGAATGAGTATTTTCAGCTGTTTGGTCAATATCACACTTCGAATTAGTCGATAATAAACAGTTGCACAGATTGATTTCAGATATCACTATAAAAACATTCCCTAAAAGATTCAAATGGTATTCTTTTTTATATAATTACTTTTGCAATTTATAATATGTTCGTTTTAGACTTTTATATTCGCTTAAATCTAAGAGTGAAATTCGCTATCATTCGTCCAATACAATTTTAATGTTCTATTTTACTGTCAAAAGTATGACAACGACACGTTTCTATACGTATATTTTCGTAAGATCCTGTATCAACAACATTGATTGTTCGATTCTTGTATAAGTAGAGTTGCTGTAAGAAGATGCGGGATATTTGTAAGGCAGAACTAGTCCGATTAGTGGTCGTTAGTGCCGTGACCACTTTCCAAATGTTAAAAATTTCCCATGTTTTTCTAGGAAAATCTAAACATATTCTTGCGTTCTGTTCACAAAAGTAATTACAGGCCTCAATGTTGACTGATTCTTGTGAGCTCTGTTGTGAGATCATCAGTAGGCACTATCATGTCCTCTTTTCGAACTCAATGTTATCAATAATTTATAATTCCATAATTTTTTGATGAAAAAAACTATTTCGCATGAAAAGAAATTCTCAAAAAGTCCTATCAGCACTTGCCAATTTTCGAATTCTAATTTTTTAAGTCTCAGATTTATAATAGTTGACCGTTTTAAAAGAATAAATAATGAATATTGTATAGTATCTATATGAATCTATTTTTTTTAGGTATTCGTGAATTAACTGAGTATATATTGCATTCTAGCAAATTCAAAGTTGCGCTAAAATGATTAATTATACTTCATTAACGGCTCAAACTATTTAGTTCATATATCTTACCATTTTATTTTACGTAAACTATTATTTCAATTGCTTGATACTGCACATAAAATAAAATATAACTTGTTTTCTTTCAAAACAAAAATTAAGAAAATTTCTTGGAAAAATAAGTTTGTTATATAAAATTTTGTGCATTGAACTCGAGGTAATAATAATTGACAAAATTTTTGGCCTAAGACCCACCTGAGCCTATGAAAATAATTCGTTATCTTTTTTTTGTCGTTCTGCAAGTAATTCATACGAAAAGGAAAGCATACCAATAATATTTTTAAGCTCGCTTAGGCCACAGGTTAAAAATTCGGCCGATTATTATTACCCTTGGACTCGATTCATGTGATTCTACTAGGATGTGGGGTGTAGGTGTCGGTGTGAGTGTCTTTACTCATCAGAGACCGAAACGAGTCGAAAACATCACATTCGACTCGACTCGAGTCGAGTCACCGAATATTCATTCAAGTAACTGATGTTTATAAATATCATTTTCGTTGTAGAGGTATGTATTGGAACAATCCTTGCAGCTTGCGAAACCTTTAATAATACTGAATTCTGCATTTTTTTTTCATTGTTCTTGCGGACACCTGACAGACCAAATTTATTGTAACACGCAGCAGTTCCGCGTTTACTTGGATTTGACAAAACTTTGTAATGATTCTTATTCTTGTCGCGAATCAACAGTTGTTTAATGTTGGCAGATGTATAAGTTTCTGGAGCTGTTGAAGATGATACCAACGTGGAACGTAAAGGAGAAGATGACACTTCTGGCGAATATTCTGTCGTATCGTCGTTGGTTAAATCGATTGACATTCTTAAAACGGCAACGATTGTAGCTTTTAATCAAAAATGTTGAAGAAGTGATAGTATATGAGATGAAAAATAAAAACAGTTCTGTCATGTGCTCTACATCAATTGTTTGTATACAGTCATCATTGATTGATGAAACGCCATCAATTGATGTATGAATAAGCTATAATACAGGGAATACAATGAACGCTATTGTTCGTTATTCATTTCAGTCCACTCATCGCCGTCGGTTTATTGTTGTTCAGCCGACGACACTTACTATCTAATGAGTTCGTCATGGTGAATTGATATCGTATTGTTTTAATAAAGCCAAAACTAATCAGCGTTGTTGTTAGGAAAAAACATAAAGCACCACAAAAAAAAATCCAAAAAGTCGAGTCTCTCGATTCAAAATCGACTCGACTCGAGAGAAAATTTTACTAAACTTGACTCGACTCGACACAAATTTTGAAAAAGTAAATTCGACTCGACTCGACTCGTTTTCGGTCTCTGTTACTCATACCCAAGATCGCATTTTTCATGAAAAAAAAGTCGAATTAAAAGAGAAAGAATTTTGTTCTACTACAAATAGTTGATTATTTTTACTGCTTTCAAAAATATGTATTAAGTGTACTCGTAAAAATATCATTAGAAAAATTAACTAGAATATTGTTTGTATACCAAGACAATTTAGTTCAAAAATAAGTTTATCAATGGATATGTTTTTACCTGATTGAACAACGTATGTGTCAGACAAAACTAAACAGAATTATTTGAAGATTTCAATTTTAAAAAGATTGAAGATTAAGGTGATTTATTCATTTTATATATTTATATTAACGAATATTCAACTTTAGTTGAAATTTAGCTAAGTTTAGAAAGCTGTAGAGTTCATCCATGTATTCTATAGAAAGCTAAAGTATCATAAGAGGTTATAGAGTCCATCATCTTACTGATTATAGTAATAACAAAATTAGCTGCTAGACCAAAAAAAAGGAGCCAAAAACTTATGCTTACTTTCTTTTTTGTGTGAATATGAATTCGTCTTAAGGTTAGTCCCAGTCTATATTTATAACGTTTTATGCGAATCGCAGTATGTCGGTTACATGAGCAGACGAAATGAAGTGGTCGACGGATAGATCTACTATTCAACATTTCACTGATCTTATAAGAATCAAATAAAACTATGAGTTACTTATATTCGCTTTATATGAGCTACTACGATACTTGATAGAAGTATTCTTCATACTTGGTAAAAATAATAGTTCTGCTGAAAAAGAAATACTTTTATTATCAGGTCTTTAAAAAGGAATGTAAAAGCTCAAAGCACAATAGACAAATCTATAGAAAAAATTGTTGATTGACTTATACACTAAATCGAATGAATTTTGACCGATTGTTTACTGTTATTAATCACAACTCTTAATAATTTAACAGACAAGAAATAAAAGAATTTTTAACGTAAGTAACTTTTGTTGTTGGGTAATAGATGTGATCAGTCTGTTTGTATTAAGTGCAAAACCTAATTTAGTAAATAACTAGATTTTAAAAATCCTTTCGAATATCATCTTCTAATACTTATATAAAGTAAGCTATCATTCCCAGAACGAGGATTACGGCGACCAGAAACAGCCGTTTACGGCGCCGTATACTATCGTATACGTCAGGTTTACGGCCGTAAACGACTGTATCTTCGCCGTATTTCGTGGGACCGTATTACGGCCGTAACCCGCCGTGACGTTTACGGCGTTATATGGCCACCGTACACGACCGTAATTACGCCGTAACGTCAAGCCTTCACCGACGCATACGGTAGTTTACGGTCGTTTCTGCCGTATATACTCAACCAGTAATGCCGCTGTAAACGATCACCGTAAACGGTGGTCCTTATTGAAACATTGTGAGACTTCTCTAATCCAATGAAAAAGACTATTTCAGACCTTTTGAGACTTCTTTTAATGTATAGAAAAAGACTTTTTGAAACTTTTTTAATGCATAGGAAAAGACCTTTTGAGACTTTTTGAGACTTTTTTTTAAATAAAGAAAAAGAGTTTTGGAGATCTTTTGACGGATTTTAGACATGATGTAAGACTGTTTGGTAGTATTTTTCAGCAGTCGGAAGCAATGAGAATGGTGTCAAGAGGGCTCAATGGGTGTCAAGAAGATTAGATTGAGAGTTTGTTGATGCTGTTTTGGTATGATGAAAGAAATTTTCGGAGCTGGTTGATCCTGGACGCCGCAATACTCAAAGGGGTCTTTTGAAGAGCTTTCGAGTTTCTCAAGGGCTTCTCATCATGAGAAATGGGTGCTACAAAAATCTTAGAAATGCTATTTATCAGGACGGATAAAATGCTAACAACCCCCTACTACTACTTAGTCTACATATTTTGTGGTTGCAGAGAACCAGTTTCTTAGGAGGAGTTCAGATATATTCCAGTTTCACCGAAGTTCTCATGAAACTACCCGAAAGGTACGAGAAACTCGCGATAGACAGGGAGCTGAGTCATTTTCGACTGTGTTTCCATCGTAGAACACTGACTTAGTGTAGTGTAAGAAAAATAGAAAAAACTTCACGCGAATAATTGTGGGTGCTTGCGAGACTTTTTTACGAGCCGGCTGAAGATCGCGAATAGCAAGCGAAAATTCTCTTTCAGACTTGCTATTACTTTTATCGGGTTATCTCTTAGATGAAACAAAGCCTAAAATTATGTCGTCTTCAGGCTTGTTCCGGCTATTTTGACACCTCTTTCTGAGAGCGTTGACAATTGCTAACAACTTGTTAAAAGACAATAAATTACCCTTTTATTCAATAGGAGCA